CCATGGAGTCCATTCTGACTCACAGCGCCCCTAGAGGACAGAGTGGAACTGCCCCACAGGGTCTCCAAGGCTGTCAGTCTTTATGGGAGCAAAGCCCAAACCACACCTACTGGAAGCAAAGCCCAAACCAAAGTCACTGCCATTGACTTGACTTGGCTCATAGCGACCCCTCCTTGGGTTTCCGAGGCGGTATCACTATGGAAGTAGATTGCCCAACCTTCCTTCCGAGGAGTGGTTGGTGGGTTTGAACTGCCAGCCTCCTGGTTAACAGTCAGGTGCCTTAGGCACTACGCCACAATGTATACATGTGTATAAAGGTTACAACCCAAGGAACACCCAATTAAAAGCACACACAAACATAGGCAAAGCCAAAATGGAAATCTGTGGCTTTGTTTCTTTCCGTAAGGCAGTCAGCCTGAACCGATTTCTACCCTCAGACCATGCCTCCTCTCACTACAGAACTGTGAAGGCACAGGTATAACGATCAAGTTCTCTTCTGTCTGAAACCTTCCAAGTATGCTACCAACGGGCCGGACTGCGGTCGCAGAGCCTCCCGGCCCCTCCGCCCCCGTGGTGGAGCCAGGTTCTCTGGACCGTGGGAGCGGCCGGGGTCTGGGTCGCATGTCCCCCTCACAGCTCAGAGCTCGGCTCGCAGTAACGAGAAGGCTCGAGGTCAAGGCCTTCTCGTTCCCGAGGCTTTTCTGCTCGCCTTTAGTTTCTCGATTTGCTTGTAAATGGAGGTATGTGGGTCCGTTCTGGTGGCGTAGTGTCTAAGGCATCTGACTGCTCACCAGAAAGCTGGCGGTTCAAACCCACCAGGTACTCCTCAGAGGGACATCCATAGAGATACTATGGAAACCCAAGGAGGGGTCGCTATGAGTTGGAAAACAACGGTAAGGAGTTTGGTTTTTTTTTTGGAAGGTCTGTGAGCCTGTACAGACACCTACAAATCACTCTACAAAGAGCCGAAAAGAAAGTGGAAAAGTGGGGGGAGAGTCCGTTTGACCATTCTTTTTAACTGGTTTCTAAAATAACTTGTTTGATAAAAATAATAATAATAGTAACTTGTTTGTCCTTCCTATCAATTTTGTGAGAAAATCATTTTGACAGCACAGGTCAGATCTCACTCAGGTTGACAATCAAGTGGCTTTTTGGTTTGCTTCCACTGACGAAGGTTCCCCTGTTTAAAGAACAGCAAACACGAAGCCCACGGTGCCAGCCGCCTTGACAGAGAACGGCTCCCTTCCAGCGTGGGCCCGGCTCATCAGACCAGGCCTCACCCTCTCCCACCTGTCTGGGGACAAACTTAGCAGAGGGCGCAACTCTCCCCTCCCGGTGACGTCCCACCGACCGCTTCCCAACGTCCCCTGAACCCCTCCCGCCTCCATCAAGGCCCAGCCCCAGTCGTCTTCTCCACCGTCCACCGGTGCCCAGAACAGTGCCTGACCCGCAGCCGGCACTCGAGGCACGTTTGTGATCCAAATGGGCAACAACCGAGGCCCTCCATGTTGTTGTTGTTGTTATGTGCCGTCGAGTCGGCCCTGACTGAGTATAGCGACCTCTCCTTGAGTTTCTGAGGTGGTTATCACTACAGAAGTAGATTGCCCAATCTTCCTCCCGAGGAGTGGCTGGTGGGTTTGAACCGCCAGCCTTCTGGTTAGCAGTCAAGTGCCTTAGGCACTATGCTCTCTGACAGCACTCGCTTCCTGAGGAAAAGCTACGCTATGGCACAGGGTGGTAACAGCCCACCTCGCGTGTACACGGCCAGTTCTCACTGCCAAAGGCTTTCCTGGGAATAACTCAATCTCTTCCACCACCAGACCAGGCCCCACTAATGCAAGTTAACAGACACAAACACCAAGGGTCAAGGAGACTTAGCAACGTGATCAATTCCAAGAAGAACTTCATACATTCTTATCAGTGGAAAAATAATAATTTTGTGTTGTCTCCAAGTGGTAATAAAAAACCTCTGAACAACATTAACAAGATTACCGGGATATATTCTGTGTAGGAATTTTGTTTTCTAATGGTCGCTACATACATTTTCTTTTTAATAGTGTTTTGTTTTTTTAAAAAAGTATACTTTTACGTTTCCAGGACTGTCAAATTCCCAGAAATTCTATTTAACAAGTAATCCCCACCAGGACAGTGATGCCAGCTTCTGTAAGTGCATGAGCCATTTTCCTAAGATAAATTTCTCTTTCTCTCTCTCCATATATAAGCTTTACTGGTTTTGCTTCTCTAGAGAACCCAGTCTAACACACTTGCTATTAGCATACCTACCAGGTAAAAATATTTCTCCTGAAAATAAGTATGATACGTTGTTGTTGTTGTTGTTGTTGTTGTTATATGCTATCGAGTCGGACCCAACTCATAGCGACCCCTCCTTGAGTTTCCGAGGTGGTATCACTACAGAAGTAGATTGCCCAACCTTCCTTCCGAGGAGTGGCTGGTGGGTTTGAATCACCAGCCTTCTGGTTAGCAGTCAAGTGCCTTAGGCACTATGCTATGGTCAATCATAAATAAATAGATTTGGGGAGATAGAGAAAGGGTCCATGTCACTGCAATTCCTCCCTTCCCCTTTTTTTTACGTTAAAGGACACTATAATCACTGACATATTAAAAACTGTAACTTTCAGATAGTGCAAAGTGACCCAATTACAAATAACTGCTGTTAACATGCAATGTATAAGCAATAGAACGCTTATTTCTGGCAAAGGGCCGTATTGTTCAGTCTCCGTACAAAACTGACTGTCTGTGAAGCAACCAGTATAAAACATTTCTAGAAAACCAGAAGAAACAGGTGAGACAGTGGCTCAGGAAAACATTTATTTGGAAGCTACTAAGTCAGGAATAAGGAGCTCTGGTAGCATAGTGGATAAGGCACTTGACTGCTAATCGGAAGGTCGGCGGTTCAAGCCCACCAGCTGCTCCACAGAGCGATCTACTTCCATAAAGATTTACAGCATTGGAAACCCAATGCGAGTCACTATGAGTTGGAAACGACTCCTTGGTTTGGTTTGGTAAGTCAGGAATACCAACAGGTAAGCAACTTCTACCAGATCACTGCTGCCATTTCACAGCTGCCTTCGATTTCCAGGTCTTGATATTAGCTCTTATCTTCTTCTTGAACAAATCCATTTAATCTCCACAAAGCTCTAAGTATGTTTTATCTGACGACACTGAACTCTGTTTCTAACGTTGGAAACAGCCGGTGCATCCTGCTAACCAACATCAAAGCTCTATTTCAGCGCCTCGCGAACGAGCAAATGGGCCCGGAGTGAGCCCCCGGACAATATTAACTGCGAATAAGCTGTCAGCAGGATGGGGAAAGAACATGCGTCCCTTTAGCGGTTCAACCAGCACCGACTGAAAGCACAGGCCGCTCGCTGACGTGCGCTCCTGCGCGCCACCCCCGCCGCCAGTCGGCGCCCGGACTCACGTTGGTGATGTACGGCTCGATGGCCTGGGCCGTCCTCTTCAACAACGCCTTCGCCAGGTCGTACGCCTGCTTGTTTAAATTCTGGAAAACATGCAACAACGCCTATGTTATATACCTCTATCAGCAACGCCTTCGCCAGGTCGTACGCCTGCTTGTTTAAATTCTGGAAAACATGCAACAACGCCTATGTTATATACCTCTATCAGCAACGCCTTCGCCAGGTCGTACGCCTGCTTGTTTAAATTCTGGAAAACATGCAACAATGCCTGTGTTATATACCTCTTGTTGTTGTTGTTGTTGTGATGTGCCGTCGAGCCGGCCCCGACTCATAGCGACCACCCCTCCTTGGGTTTCCAAGGCAGTATCACTACGGATGTAGATTGCCCAACCTTCCTTCCGAGGAGTGGCTGGTGGGTTTGAACCGCCAGCCTTCTGGTTAGCAGTCAAGTGCCTTAGGCACTATGCTACCAGAGCTCCTTTATATACCTCTATTAAAAGCAAAATACTACCTGTATTAAAAAAAAAAAAAAAAAAAAAGCAAACTCCTCTTGAGGAAACAAATAGAAGAACAGCCATAGACTTAATGGGGATGTAGGCGCGAGGGCCCCTTCTCTGAAGACAGGCTGCCCGACGAGACCCGAATGTCTTTCCAGGCAGTGACCTCCACAGCCTGCCACAACCACACAGCAGTGGTCTGGCAGTGGGTGTGAGACGGAGGGAGAGAGAGTCAGTCATTCTATATGGAGCCTACAGTCAAAGACAGCCAGCGGAGTACCAATCCTGGCTGTTTCACTCCAGGTCCGTACGAACCAACACTAGTAAGAGGATGAGCTGAGCTCTGGAGTGAGGTGGCGTGGGGCCCGCGGAGGACGAGGACGGAGGAAGGGGGCAGCTGCGCGAAAGGGGCCTTTCTCAAGCCCATCCCAGCATGCCAGCTCACGAGGTCCAACGAGAAACACATCAAGGATGAAAAGAAAAAAGAGGCATCAAGAAAATGTGCCTGAGAGGCGGCAACGATGACAGACCCAGCAAAGGTCTACGGTCGTCACTGCCCCCGTGTAGACCTGGGACAGGGAACAGGACACTGCACGCGGCCCGAGACACGGTCTTTGCTCAGCGTGTTTTCCGTCACCACCTCACACACCTCCTGCTGCTGAACTCCAATGTGCGTCACAGCTTTAATAACAACAAACACAGCTCATTTATTCAGTTGTCTAATTGTGAACACTGGTGTCTTGTACTCGCCTCCTCGTGAAAGAATATTCCGTAAATTCTATTTCGGCCATTTTCAATTGGCCCGTTTGCACTTTTCCTTATTTCTCTATAAATGCTAGACTCTGGACCTTTGCCAGTCCCATGCATAACATGTCTTAGTCTATACTTGTCCCTTCACAATGCACACAGCGTCTTACGACAGGCAGACGTTTGTGATTTTAATGTAACAAAAGATACCAGTCTTTTCCTATATAGCTTTATGTTCACTGTACGTATTTCCTAAGGAATTCTTTCCTCCTCTGAGGCTGGAAGGACGTCTCATGTTGTCTAATGAAATATCAACGCTCTGCTCTTCAGATACAGGTCTTTATTCTGTCTAATTTCTTCTTTTATCTGGCATGAAATAAAAATCTAACTGTCCTATATTCTCTGTGGATATTCACTCATCCTAAAACCATTTCCTGAAAGGTCCGTCGCTTCCCCCATAGGTTTCCAACCTCCACCCGTCAAGTTTCTCTACTACTGGGATCTCCAACCCTGCCACAAGCCCAGTCTAGCGCTGTCCAATTACAGACAAAGGAGCCGCAGAAATAAGCCTAACACCAGGTACGAGTCCGGCCTGCCTCTCGTTCTTCTTCAAATTGGTCTCACTGGTCAACTGCACTTCTGTGTGAATTTCAGAACCACCTTGTCAAATTCTTCACACTTTCACTGGCTTCCCACTTCACAAGATCGGCATGCAGAGAAAAGTCATCATTCTGACAGTCTCCCGAGTCCACAGAGGACAAACTTTTCCACACCTAAGTCTTTTATAGGAGCTCTGGTAGCCTAGTGCCTAAGGCACTTGACTGCTAACCAGAAGGTGGGTGGTTCAAACCCACCAGCCACTCCTCGGAAGGAAGGTTGGTCAATCTACTTCTGTAGTGATACCGCCTTGGAAACCCAAGGAGGGTCTGGCCCTCGCAAGTCTTTTACGCTTTTCACTCAACTATGCCCATTTTCAGCACATTTTTACTGCATTCTAAGTACCGCAAGTCTTTGGTAAAGAACATGCGTTCTATCAGATTTTCTGTAGTGATCTTATATCCAGCAACCCTGCAAAATGTCCTTATTTGTTTCAGTCATTCATCTGCACATTTACTTCTGTCTCCTAGACAGGCAATCTGCAAATCATTTCAGTCTTCTCTCTCCTTTCCGATGCTGCTATCTTGTGTCTCAGGTGACTCCACTGACTGAAGACCTCCACCCCAGTGCTGACGGACACAGCATACCTGCCTCTCTCCTGAACAGTGGACAGCTTCACAACATTCTCGACTCACAGAGAACATTTCAACACTTCATCATTAAGGGCAGGTGGGCACCGACCAATGACAGGGCTCCATTCCGATGACTCCATCACAAACTGGTTCTGACCTAAGTCGGGCACCTAATTTTTTTTTGTTTTCACTGCAATTGCCTTTTATTCTCAGTATCTTTATAAACCCAACCTTTATTAGCTGATGGGGGTGGAAACATTACATCTAAAGTTACAGATAAGATGTCAGCAAATTACACATTGCAACACTCCATGTGGCACGTAACAGTAATGATAAGATAGGACAGACGGTCATAAGAGCGGTTCACCCTAACGTGACTACGTCGTAAGTTGGGGACGACCGGTACAGTATCACGTAAATTCTTAAAAGATTAAGGAAGCTCCTTTCTATTTCAAATTGGGTAAGTGGTTTTAATCAAAAATGCACATATAACTTCATTAAATGGTTGTTTTCTATACATTAAAATACTTCTTCCTGTGTCATCTGTTAATTTAGACAAATATCTTGGTCTATTGCTAACATTTCCTACTGTTAATCCATTTATTCCTAAAATAAAGCCGATCCAGCCTTTCGCAGTAGGACTGCAGGCCACACTGCACTCCTCATCCTATTACATCATAATGGGTTTCCGTGACTACAACCACAATCAAATTCACCTACACTTCTCCTTCCTGGCTTGGTTCTCATCTGGCTTTCCTAAAGGTGCTGTCCTCAGTTCATGAAGTGGATTCTAGAATGTCCCGTCTTCCCGTCCGGAAGAGTATGCTGGAGTCAGGATGCTTTACCACTTGAATGACTGACAGGACTCTCCTGGCAACGGGTTTACACTCTTCCCTTGGTGGTTTGTCTGCGGCTGCTACCAATATTGCTGTCACTACACCTGGGTGAGGAATTCTGGCTGCCAACTAGAAGGCCAGTGGTTCAAACTCACCAGCCATTCAGATCAAGGAAGGAAAACCTTAAAGATTTGCAGCTGCAGAAACCCAGTGGGGGTCACTATGAGTCAGAATCAACTTGATGGCAGTGAGTTTGGTTTTTCTGTGTGTACATTTGGGTAGGGAAACAGTTTTTATTTGTTTTAGGGGTAGAGTTTTAAAACCCAGTTAAGTCAGTGAAAGATGGTCAAGATTTTCTCTCTGTACAAATCTGGCAAGTTATATATTCTAGGCATTTTTGTTTATTTTCTAATTCCAAATGTTAGCATAAAATATTGTTCATGGATGTCTTTTAATCATTTTCAAGTTTCCAGTGCCCCGATTTTGCTATAAAATTGTCAAGTAAGGTTGGCAGACAATGTTTCTACAAGTGTATTGCTATGTCCTGTAAGAATTCCCAGCTGTATAGTAGAGTTGACAAGGGTCACGGCTATAGTCCGTTCTTAGACACAGTCAGCTTCCCAGAGGGAGCAAGTAGTTGGACCTGTGGGCTCGGGACCACCGTCACAGGGGACATCAAGCTCAACTGGCATAACATACTAAACAAAACATTGTTCCACCTCCTACTTTGGTGAATAGCGACTGGGATCTTAAAAGCTTGCAAGCAGCCATCTAGATACAAACATGGGTCTCTCCTTGTCCAGAGCAAAGAAGAAGGAAGAAAAACAAAGATTCATGGAAAAAATTAGTCTAAGTGATTGGTACACCATCCAATCCTCACCCTATATGACTATGAGATCAGAAGAACTAGATGGTGCCCGGCTACCACTGTCAACCTTTCAGAGGCAGATCTATGTAAGAGATCCTAGACAGAGTGGGTAAACAATGTGGATCAAAACTCAAAATCATTTGGAAAAAAAAGGGGGGAGGGGTACCAGGTTTATTGGTCTGATAGAGCCTGGTAGAACCACTGAGACTATGGCCCCTAGCTGTCCTTCAGGTCTGGAATTGAACCCACACCTGTGGTTTCCAGCCAAACAAAAGACAGGCATGTGGGCTGAACATTTACCTCAAGTAGATACACGCCTTGGAGAGAACAATCATGGGAGAAAGAAGGGCTGCTTATGCACAAGGAGACAGCTCAGGGGGCAGGAGGGATGGACACAGGGAAGAGGTAACTATGGAGAGGAGTGGGAGAGGAGTTGTTGCATTGTGGGAAATCGCAGTTAGTATCATGAGACAAAGTGTATGTGAACTGTTGTGCGGAAAGTGAGTTTGCTCTGTAAACTTTCACCCAAATCACAATTAAAAAAAAAAAAAAAAAAAAGGGTCAAGTGATACTACCCCCTCTTCTGGATGAACCTGCCAAGAGCCCTGACTCAAGACACTTTTCAAATGACCAGTTCCACCTGTGGATGAGATGTCACTATGTTTTCTATTTTGCATTTCATTAATTTCTGCTTCTTCATTATTTAATTCCTTCTCTACTTATTTTGATGATATCCTTATGATTTCCTGAGTTGGACATTTAGCTATCTTATGTTAAAAAACCATCTTAAGCTATATTCCACAAGTTTTAATATGTATCATTTATGTATATTTTTTAAATGCCAACAGGATGTATTCTTTTGACAGATTATATCCCCTATTCAAGTTGTCGGTTCTGGCTTTCAAA